GAGCTTAAGCGCATGGAACACGAACGTCAGCGTGCCCTCCACCGCAAAATATTCGAGGACCAGATGCGCGCCCTGGAGCAGCAACAGCAGCAGGAACTCCTCAACCTCCCGCTCGATAATGGCTCGCTTCAGCACCTCGCCGTTTCCGCCCCCACCACGCCTCCTCGCGTAAATGCTACCCTCCACGACGATCACTCGCCTAATCTCCGCACTACCTACGGCCACGTCGACGTCGACGTCCTCTCCAAGGCCGTGGGCTCCGCCGTGTCGGACAAGAGGAAATCGGTCACGTACGCTCCTTCCACGCACTCGTCCGATGTCCACAACAACGTGGCGCCTGGAAGTGGCGGATTGGGTCAGGGTTTTGGTCGTGCCGGTGCGAAAAGTATGCCTGCTAGCAGGCGTACGTCCGCCAGCAGCCACGACGAGGAGCTTGCCTCTCATCTGCATGAGTTGTCGCTCGCAGGTGAGCGCAGGTCGCCTCTGTCCAGGCACCAGTCCCCTTTTATTCCCAGGGGGAACGGCATGCACGACGAGGCCGGCGTTCACTATGGAAACGCATACAACGCGGGAATGATGCTGGATGAGCAACTAGATGAGGAAATGCACAGTGCGTCGCTTGTCTTCCCGTCAGGATTTTCCTTTCTGATCTCTGTTCCAGATGCTATGCGTAACCTCCCCACGTCCGATGATGACAAATACCAGGGCTCTCAGTTCAACAAAGTATGTCTTTATGGGCTGACTTGATGGTCGGGTTTTGACAAGACCATCTAACGATAGTTATCTTCATCATCGGCCGCGTTGGACCTTGCTCCTCTCTCGCAGACTCCTCCGCGCAACTCTTTCAGCACGCGGGCCGTCGATTCCAAGGCCTCCGAATGGCCTCAATTTACGGGATCTTCCCGCCCCGAAGCGCTAGCCGCTCGTTCCGACAGACGCACTGTCACTAATCCGGCGCTTAGCATCGCCGCGGGTCTTAACGACATGAGTAATGGCAAGCTCGCTGGCTCCGTGTCCGCGTCGGCGACGCCTCAGCTCCCTCAGCATCCCCAAGGCTTGTCGCCCCTTTCTCAGGCGCCTGGCTCCCGTCGCGGTTCTCCTCCTGGACTTTCTGATGGGCTGTCCATCACGACACGCTCGGTACCCGCGACTCCTTTGGCAGGCATCTCTAATGCAGCGGCTGGCCATTTGATCAAGACACCTGGCACGCCTTTGTCGCCCGATGTTCAAAGCCGTCTTACGTCACAGGGCCACCAGCTTGGTGATAGTCCTTTGAACGGCGATGGGCTCCAGGGCTCTTTGTCGAGGCTTCCGTCTGGCCAGTACGATAACAACTTGGGCTACAACTCTATGCAGTCGTCTCTTGACGACTCGCTCCAGGTGCGTCGCGCGATCATGCATATTTACTTGTCTTCTTACGCATATAATGCATCAGTACGACGTCTACGGCCTCAACAGCGGACTCAGTGGTGGCTCCGATCATGGTCGCTACGATTCCTACGGCTTTGACCCCAGCAACCGCTCTCCGAGCAGCCAAGGTGGAATGAATGGCGGCACCGGTTCTACGGCGCTCTATCACCACCACGGCTCCCGCTATGGCCTTGGTCTCGGAAGTCGTGCCGGCGCGGACGGTAAGATGAACGGTCTCCATGGCCCCAAGCACAAGCGGGGTGACATGGATCGTGAATGTGAGTACCCGTATTTTTTGCTTCGGGCATGCCGCTCTAACGACGTTATGTGTCCTAGTCAACCGCTTCGCTGGTACACGATTGGAGGATCTGGTTGGCGAGATTCCCGGCTTGTGCAAGGACCAGCATGGGTGCAGGTACTTGCAGAAGAAGCTCGAAGAAGGCGTTCCTGAACATCGGGACATGATCTTCCGTGAGACGTTCGGGCACTTCGCGGACCTCATGACAGGTTCGTAGTTGGTTTTGGCAGTCAGGCGCCATGAGCTCACTCGCAATGCAGATCCCTTCGGCAACTACCTCTGCCAGAAGCTCCTGGAGTACTCGACGGACGAGCAGCGCAACATCATCTGCGAGTCGGTCGCGCAGGAGCTGGTGACGATCTCGCTGAACATGCACGGTACGCGCGCAGTGCAGAAGATGATAGACTTCCTGTCTACTCGCAGACAGGCAAGTCCAGTTTACGGTTGAACCCACCTTTGGCACTCACGGGGTGGCCGGGACGCAGACTGACCCTAGATATAATGGCCAGATTCGCTCTATCATTGTCGCGCTCAGCCTTCACGTTGTTGCGCTCATCAAGGACCTCAACGGGAACCACGTCATCCAGAAATGCTTGAACAAGCTCGCGCCCGAAGACAACCAGGTAGGCATATTACTTGATGTTGTCACGTCGTCCTTTGACATTGTTGTCTGCAGTTCATCTACAACGCCGTTGCGTCCAACTGCGTAGAGGTTGCCACTCACCGTCACGGGTGCTGTGTGCTCCAGCGCTGCATCGACCACGCCTCCGACATCCAGCGCGGCCAGCTCGTCCACGAGATCACGTTCAACGCGCTGACCCTGGTACAGGACCCTTACGGCAACTACGTATGTTTTTCGCCTAAGTGCAACCGAACTAAGTTGACTAATTTGACGGATTTTAGGTCGTGCAATACATCCTCGACCTGAACGACAACCGCTTCAGCGATGCAGTGATTCGTCAGTTCGCCGGCAACGTTTGCGCCTTGTCTGTGCAGAAGTTCAGCTCCAACGTCATCGAGAAGGTGAGTTCTGCGCTTGGAGATCTTCCGGAGGTAACGTGCTGATAGCTATTTCAGTGTATCCGTGTCGCGGAGCACAGCACCAGGAAGATGTTGATTGAGGAACTCCTCAACAGGACCAGGCTCGAGAAGTTGCTGCGCGATTCCTATGGCAACTATTGCGTGCAGGTTCGTACCCTCATTTCCGCCGGCGTCGGTGATGCTGATCATTTGTCTCAGACTGCTTTGGACTATGCCGAGCCCAACCAGCGTGTGCTCCTTGTTGAGGGCATCCGCCCGGTTCTTCCGTTGATCCGCAACACCCCCTACGGCAAGCGTATCCAGAACAAGCTGCAGCGCGAGCAGCTCGATCACTACGGCGGTGGCGGGTATCACAACCAGCAGGCACTCGTCAGCATGGCTCTCGGCAATCAGGGCATGGGCCTGGCACCCCACTCTGCAGGCCGCCATATGCAGGCTAATCCGCTCGCCGACGTCTACAGCGGCCAGAACGGCCTCTACCCCCTGCAGGGTCAGAACGGCAGCGCGCTTGGGCAGTCTGGTCTTCACGCGCCTATGCACGGCCTGCAGCCGCACTCGATCGACGGCTATGTCCTCCAGGGCAACTCGAGCCACAACCAGGGCCTGGCGTCCCACTCTGGCGGCTTCGCTAACGTCTCTGCGTTCAACTCGTTCCCCAACGTCGGCATGGCTGGCACGCTCAACGACCCGTACCAGCGCGCGTCGTACGGCTACGGGATGTAGACGCCCTTCGCTGCTTTCGCCGCCGCCGCTCTTCTGCTTGGATTTGACACACGAAGACAATAATTGCTCCAAAACAAACTCGCCAAACCCCAATATCAATATCTCCCTCTGGTTACCCCGTCCACTCCTTCCCCAGCCCATTCGTTTCGCAATATACCACGTAGCTTACTCCCGTCTCGTCGTCGACGCAAATATCTCCCCATGTTCATTTATGCTATCCCGCGACCCGCGACCCACAGGCGACCGGGACTCATCCGTCCTCTCGTATGCAAATACCATGGCGCATTGTATTCAAACCAACGCATTTTTTATCATTGCTTCGACCTGCTTTCTGTTGAACATTTTCTTGGTTGCTACATTGTACAGCGTACTTCACAGCCCCCTCGTCCGACAACCCCTCACAACACCCCCCCAGTATCCCATCTGTTTAATACTTAGCTCGTCGCACCTCTATTTGTCTGTCATTCTGTACTTATCCTCAATCTGACATCGTTGCTTAGAGTATTTGATTGTTTGCGCCTCGGATTGTTGGTGACGCGTTGACGCTGTTAAGGCATGCTCTTACAGTGAAATTGGCCTGTAGTCTCACGCAGCCCGTCCGTGTTGGAGTATTTCCATTCTGCCGTAGAACAACGCCGACACATCACTCTACACGCTCTGCTCCCTCTGTGTAGCCTGAGGACGACTCCGCCAGACGAGCAACATATGTTTTCATGGAGGCCGCCTTGGTGAAGGACACCGAAAAACAAGACACTCATCTCGACATGCATTCGCATGCGTAATGACACCCTGGGACCTCGATCTTCTCTCACACGCGCGCAAGCGCAAACAGCAAACGGAGCATGGCATGGCTTCATAGGTGCGATGTTATATCATGGCAATGCATACATGTCGAAGCCCGAATGTCGCGTGTGGGGTGTGGGGAGAGGTAAAACGAAGAAGACAGCAGATAGCAAATGCGGAACCGACACGGGCGCGATGTTCACCGGTTCTATCAAGGCGCGAAAAGCAGGTCAGCATGGATGCAGAGGTAGGGTGGGCAGTACGCACCTTGACGAAGCCGATGGCTGCGGACTTCTCACGGAAGCACTGACGGCAGAGGTCGAGGCCGTACTTGCGGATGAGACCGGCCTGGTGGGCGCAGAGGCGGCTGGAGGTTGTGCAAAGCGTGTCAGGAGCTGGAGTAGGCGCGAATTAAGACAGGGTTAAGGGCTACTCACCACTGACGGCTGCCCTTGCCGAACTTGCGGGGACGAGAGAACCAAACGGCGTCGTGGGTCATTTTGACGGATTACTGGAGCGTCGGCGGTCAGTTGCAGGTGGTGGATAGGGAGGATTGCAGCTTACAGTGCCCGGGAGGATTTTGAGGATGGCGTTCACGATGCGGGCTTGTTTCCCTGTCTCGTGTCCTTCGGGAGGCGCAGGAAAAGCTGACGTAAACTGTATAGCGGCTCTTTTAGAGTTTGCTTCTTCGCTGAGACGGCTCACCAGATGACGACACAAGGCGAGCAAAGCTCGTGCAAATGTAGCCCGCCTAGCTCAATCGGATAGAGCGTCAGACTCTTATGTAAGGCGGGTTGATTCCTACCATCGGAATCTGAAGGCTGCGAGTTCGACCCTCGCGGTGGGCTAGTCATTGTTTTTCCTCTTTCTCCCTCCTCTGCTATCACAATCTTTATGCAGTCCCCTTCACACGGCTAGCCCTTTGTTGCAGTGGTTCGTGAAGATTACTTGGTCCATGCGCAGGAAGGGAGGTCTCAAACCAAAAGCTTCCGTTGACGGTTATGGAAAGTTGAATGTAACTACTATATTTGGGCAAGAAGTTGAACAAGAAGATGATGGGCGGCTAGCTACACATCAAGGCTATACTTGCCGTAATGCCAGGGTGTTTCGATGTCTTCTTACATTTCCTCTCTTCCCAGCTATTGACCTCTCTAGAAGGCTGAATCGTCGTTGATGGGGTACGGTGTTTGACAGCCCAACCCACCGAAACGCGATCATGTCCTCCCGAATCAGCGTCTCCACAGTGGTGGAAGTCATTGGGGTTGTGGCCCTTCTGCTTATTGCCAGATTCCTCGTATGGGCGGCCTATCTGTTCGTAATCGCCCCGCGCCTTGATCCTTTGAGGCATCTGCCTGGACCAGATGGGAGCGCCATGCAGAATCACTTCCGTGAAGTTATGGAGTAAGCGGTTCCTTGACTGTCCGTGCCGTCGGGTTCTAATAAGGGTCGCGTAGCCCTAACATCTCGCAGGATACACATGAGCGCTGGGTGAAGCAGTACGGACGAACGTTCCGGTTTCATGGATTTGGGAAGGTGCGCCTGACTTCAAACTTGAATCAGTTGTCAGTCAAACTGACTTCGCTGTGCTTGCAAGCATGACTACCGACTTATGTCGCTCGACTTTCGAGCTGTTTCCCATGTTCTCAACTCTCCTGTCTACGAAAAGCCGTGGCAAACACGCCGTTTACTGGCCCGACTGCTTGGGCGAGGTAGGAAAGCTCACCATTTCTTCAACAACTTCGCCTCACGCCCCTCTTAGGTATCAGCGTGATGGAAGGTGAAGAGCACAAAATCCAGGTCCGTTGCTGATAGTGCTTCAACCGCCATGTCTAGGATGCTGACCATGTACTTTTCTAGCGCAAGATCATCGCGCCGGCATTCTCCACGCAGTCCGTGAAGGCCCTATGTCCAATATTCCTCCAGGTGGCGGAGGAGCTGAGGGAGATCTGGAGTAATCAGATCAACCAGGCTGTACCTACGGCAGAGCCAAAGAGGTCTAATTCGTCTGCGGTCGTGGATTCCTACAACTGGATATCGCGCGCTACGTTCGACATCATCGGCCTGGCTGGATTTGATTACCCCTTCCGTTCGCTCCAGGACGAGACGGAGGAAGTTTCACTTGCGTATCGCAAGATGTTTGCTGCTACTGATAAAGGACCTGGACTGAAGGGCTTGTTGAGGCTCTACTTTCCGATCATCGAGCGTATCTTCGTATGTAGCTTTCCTCCCCAGGTTGACTCATAGTTGACGTTGTGCAGCCTGATGAAGCAGCCACAATAACCAAGGAGAGCCTACGCACTATTCGTGCGGCAGGCGACAAGCTCATCGCCAACAAGAAGGCTGCGATCTTGGCCAGCGCGTCGAGTAGCAAAGAGATCCGCGACAAGGATCTCCTCAGCCTCATGAGTATGTTCCACCGTGCTTTTAATTACCTGAGACTAACTCACCTTCCTCTCTGCAGTAAAATCGAATTTATCAGAGAACCCAGCACAGCGCATGTCAGACGATGTCCTACTTGACCAACTCTCCACATTCCTTTTTGCCGGATCCGACTCGACAGCGGTTTCCATCGCATGGTGTCTTCATAATCTCGCTATCCGCCAAGATATCCAAGCGCGCCTGCGATACGAGATCATGTCCCTACCAGCCTTCGCAAGCATCAGCCACACAGGGCACACCGACGCGGAAACCGCGCGCTCGCCGTCATACGCAGACACCCTGGACGCGCTCCCTTTCCTCGACGCCGTCGTGCGTGAGACCCTCCGCCTCAGCCCGCCGGTACACGGCACCATCCGCGTTGCCACCGCCGACGACCACATCCCGCTCTCGCAGCCGACAGTCTTGCGCGACGGCACGGCGACGACACATATACGCATCAAAAAAGGGAGCTACGTCCACATTCCTATCGAAGGTCTCAATACGAGCAAGGATGTCTGGGGTGAGGATGCTCGGGAGTTCAAGTAAGTGTTCCTAGCTGGCACCTTTCCCATGTCACCCACCATTCCTGACGAATGTATGCATCGCTCCAACAGCCCCGACCGCTGGCTCCGCCCCCTCCCTTCCCACCCAGGCCTCGCATCGCTCATGACCTTCTCGTACGGCCCGCATTCATGTCCCGGCTGGAAGTTCACCCTGCTCGAAGCGAAGGTCTTCCTGGCAGTGCTCCTGCCCAGCTTCAAGTTCTCGCCGGCGGACGAGATCAGCAAGTTCAATGCTATCCTGACGCGGCCGTATGTGAAGGGGAAATTCGAGCTTGGGACGCGGCTGCCTGTGAGAGTGGAGAGATATGAAGAGGCGTGTTGATGTCATGGGCTGGGCTCGGTGGAAGTTGTGTACGCTACCACCCACCCGGTGCTCAAAGTTGCAGGCTTTGAGTCCGTGCTCTGGGTCTATTTATTCGTTTTATTATACCGCTTGTTTGCTTTGTACGGAATTCAAACTACGTCTTATGGAGCACTGCTATTCCCTTTCTCCTTGTTGAGCAACAGGATAAAGGCCCCCAATGGTTGGAGCTCTGCGGGCTCCAAAGACGACTTCCTTGAAAAAATAACAGGAGAGAAAGACGAGGAAAGCACACCTGAGGGAAGCGCCCAGGCTGATCTGCCCGCAAGCGCTTTCATCCTGCGAAGCGTAGCTACTTTTTAACCAGCACGAGGATCGGCATCATTCACGACCTTCGTCAGAAGGCATCCGTATTCGAGCGGACCCGCCTGCCAAGGACAGCTGGGCCAGCAAGGCAGGAGGCGTGCTCGATGCATCCATTACTCTGACGTTTTCGTGGTCAAAGTCCTTGGAAATGGCAAGCGTCAGAGGGGGTGTGGACGGTGCTGGGAGGGTGTTGGAGAGTGCAAGAGAAGTCCTTCCAAACGCTGTGTCTGTGATTGTGGCCCCCCATTGTTCATTGTGGAGCTGAGACACCGAGTCAGAGAGCGATGAAACCCGTCAAAGTCATTGTATCGAGGACACGTTAAAGCAGGTACTGCTGCATGAGTGCTGCATGCCACTCCGACCCAGTGAAGTCCGGGATTGAAGGATTGATTACTTCACCTCCCTGAATCCACGAACCTCCTGTAATACTAGTAGTTGCACACCGACACGACGCTGTTGAGATGCCCCCCAAGAAGAAGCACGGTTCCTGTGAGTCCAAGAACCCCGGTATCTGCGATATAACCTATTCAAAGGATTGCTTTTGATTTGTGATCAGTTGTTGAAGTTTCGAAGGACGGAAAGAAGGCGAGGTGCACAATATGCGCACCTTCGATTCCGTCTGAGAGCCGACAATGGGTACAATACAAGCATATGACTACGCACCTTACGTCGTCCATACACAAGAAATCGGTTGAAGCGCTCGAGGCGGAGAAAAGCAAGTTCGCAGCCATTGGGCGCTCGATACGGGCTACCCGAAGACACTTCACCAAGCCTTCCTCAGCAGTATCAACGCGGAAAAACGATACAGCGAGCCAACTCATTCAGGTCGACTCTGTCTCCAGTGCTGTGGCAGGGATGAAAGCGTCGGCTGGAGGGGCTGACTTGGACTTTGATATGGGACCCGAGCTCGACGCCCGTGATCGCTTCCTGCGAGACGCTGACAACTTCGCTTTGCAGGATGAGGAAGCAGCGGGACATGAACTTGGAGGGACCGACGGTGACTTTTCTATCGACGACGTCCTCAGTGACCGGGCATAGAGCAAGACGCGATGAGGGAAATGTGTACGAGCGCTCACCAGCACTCTCAGATACCGTTGCAATCCATGGCCAAGCCATCGAACTTGGAGACGCATCCACCAGTCGGGGGGAACAGCGAATTGTATCCGTGATCCAGTTAACGTTGTCGTGCTGTACCCAGAGTCTCAGACCCAGCTAGCCCTTGCGAATTCGCGGTGCCAAAGTGCATACAACAGACAAGTAAGTGATGAGATTAAATCCTGAGTGGGGATTACTACCATATTAGTAGCTGAACATGCGGACGACACCGAATGCACGGAGGTCATAGATTGGGGGATTATAATACGCCACCACGCCTTCCCATTAAGATCATTAGCTGCACCCACGGTCCGCGCCCTACAGTCCACCGCCCGCCGTAGCCTGCATAACACACAACACATGGCGCACGCACACATTTCGCCCTCCCTGCCTCACGCACGGCCACCCTTCTTCTTCTTGTTCACGACCTTGAAGCCGCCCCACTCCGACTGCGAGGGCTTGGGCTGCGAGCGCACGACGTCCGCGATCGATGGCCCCTTGCCGGACGCGCCTGACTTCCGCGCTACGGCGTCGGCCTTGCGCTTTGTGACGAACTCCTGCGCGAAGCGGCGCCCGTCGAGGGTCGTGCTGTTGGCGTAGATGAGCTCGGAGATGATCTCCATGGTCGTGGGGTCGACTTCGAGAGGGAACTGCAGAAGCATGGATGTGATCTCCTCGACTATCAAGCACACGGCAACATTAGTATCTGTGTCTGATGAACATGCAGCTGATACGTACAGTTGACAGAGGCGTTCAAGCCCTTGAGCGAGTCGCTCAGCCACTTCATGAAGTCTGCCGAGGGAGCAACAGGAGTCTCTTCGACCTTGGCGATGGCAGGAGAAGCCTTGACGGCAGCAGGGACAGCAGGTCGTGTCGGTTGTGAACCATTGACAATGCGTACAGGGGATGCGGCTGTTGCAGATGCTGCAGACGTCATGGCTGGGCGGGTGGCGGCGGAAGGAGTAACGGGAAGGGACGTCTTTCCATTCGAACCAACAGTGGTCCACGCGCCTCCAACGGCAAGGGTAGGCGGCGCAGCCTGCATACCACACATCCATAAATCCATGAACGTTTAATTCGGGATGACCAGACACGTACCTTGGTC